GTATTAATGCTACTTTGTAATAAAGCTATGCATAATGATCTCACCTTTTGTAGTGGGCATGTTAAAGCTTTTCACACAGTCTCTGCAGCTTAGCACTTATAACAGAAACACTGCACATACAAATGCCCTGTCAGAATAAAAAATAGTAGGCTCTTGAAGAAATCGTTGGTTGCTTGATGACATAATGCTCTACTGCTTTCCTGACATATCAGAGAGTGGATCCACTGCCTAATATACTACAAGAACAACTCCCACGCATTTTGGTTGTTGCCATGATATTGCCTTAATATTCAGGAGGGGCCTTAAACTTAGTTGTTTAGACTAACACTCCCACATTCATCAAGAAAAATTTGTATAAGGTACAAAAATTTTTTTTAAATAAACCAAAAGCTGTATCACAAGATAATGATTTTATATTATTTTAGAGAAAAAGTCCATGATTATTTTACAGTAGAGTCTATTCACGGAGCATATACTCACTCTTCATTTCCTATCAATGTACATAGTGTACTACATAAAGAACACTATTCATCTACTATGACTAACCTGAGATTCTTGAGCTAAACTAAGTTGGAAACAGAAGTTAACACATAGCCAGTCTTCAAAATGACTTCCACTGATATTTTTGTGAACACGAATATCATGACGCAGTGTGGCACGATCATAGCAAGCACGAAGGCATGTGAACATTCCACAAAGAAAGAGGCAACCATGTTCTCCATCAGGGATTGCATTAGCATTGCGATAAATTTGAATGCAAGGACAAAAAAATGACAGAAAGCCTATCAGTGTTGGAACAAGAATGTCAGTCTTTTAGATTTAGAATTAACTTACATATTGTGCAGTCATCAAAGCAACCACATATTCCATGCTCCCAACCAGACATGATGGCTTGTTCACCGAGTTCTTAGAAATTAGAGTAACAATTATCACGCTCTCACCAATATAGATCTAGTAGCGCGGACTGTATCTTTGTGAAAGGCGCGCGCCGGACTTTGTGGTTATCATAGCCCTGACTAATACTACGTTTACACTAGCTTCTTTAACTGAACCAGCCTTGTTTAAAGTGGGCCAGCACAGTTTCATTTGATAGTGTAAACAGTAACCAAACTGAGCTGAAGTGAGCTGGGCCAAACCAGGCCAGCATAGTACAGCAGGGCCAGCTCAGTCTGGTTCAGCATGGTTTGGCCCACTTCTGTAGTGTAAA